ATACTTAGCTTGGGCCCTGCCACGGGGAACTTGCAGCTTTTTATTTTCAGTGTGTGCAGTGCCTAGCACATTGGGCCCTTGATCTCACTTGGGGCCTCTAAGTGTTACTGTAATTCATATTATTAATAATAGTTTGTGCTCGTTACAGATCTCAGGGAGTTCTCTGCTGTAGTAGAGAGATTTACCCGGGTGCCCTGGCCAAACTCCAATTCAGGGAATTGCATTCTGCCTCCCTACATTAGTTACTTATTTTATTGATATTTTAAGGTTCCTGAGGCTATAGCAAGCTCTACCCTGCAGTTTCAATTGGATAGGTCATTTTTCATTTGCTGACCTAAACGATTGTGGCATATTAACTGTGCAATATGAAACAGTTGCTGCGTTCCACTCCAGAGGTGGCTGCATTTCAGTGGTGGGTGAAGCGAACTTCCATATATCACTTAAATTTACCTCACATGAGTGTTGAGTGTTATTTGGATAAGGGGCCATATTTGGTTCTCAGTTACTCTGTCGTAAGGCAGGAGTGAGTCCACTGGCCTCAAGATTTATGCTAGTGAGAGCAGAATAAAGCCCAATGTCTGTGAAGTGTTTTGAGATCCTCGGAGGAAAAGCACAAGTGCGTAGATAGCTAGAGGTGCAAAGTGTTGTTCTTACCAATTCAAGCTGCCCCTGTGACTGAGCGTATTCGCAAGGGGCAGAGCCATTTCACAATGGGGCTTGCCACCTAGGGGCACGGGTTCCCCAGAAGTGCCCTGCTAGTGATTCAGACTCTCTGGCCCCCTGCGCTAGCTGACCCACCTTCCCCAGCTGTTGGTGAGTCCCCGACTGGGGGAGGAGGTGACAAGAGCATCAGGTGGGTGAGCTTGTTGCCCTGGGGATGGCCGGGAATATCAATTTCTTCACTGAGTAGCCAACGTGCCGAGGTTGGCTCTGGAGCCAGCAATTGACATGCTCCTCCACTCCCAAGGTAATGACTGGAGTGGAGCCTGCAGCATGCTCTGTGCCCTGGCAGCCACAGCAGTGTCTCCGCCTTGGCCTCTCCGGCAGGACAGGCAGGCTGCAAAGCCTGGGGCAGTGAGGAACTCTGGGAAAGTAGGGACTCCGCAGAGGGGTAACGGATGCCAGTGTGACTGAACAAAGCGCTCTGTGTGTGTGTGTGTGTGTGTGTGTGTGTGTATAAAATAGATACACACCCCTACAATACACGTCACTGTTATAGAAATTCCATCGATGTGCCATAGAAGCCATGAGAGATGAACGGTAGGTCAACACTAGAACTGCTACCGTGTCACCGCTGCAGCTGCAGCTGCGCTGCTGTAGCCTGTAGTGTCGACACTCCCTACAGTGGCAGAAAGGGCTCTTCCGTGGCTGTAGTAAATCCCCCTCTCCGAAAGGCGGTAGCTTGGTCCTTGGAAGAATTCTTCTGTCAGCCTAGCGGTGTCCGCACTGGGGCTTAGGTCAGCTTCGTTACATCACCCAGGTGTGATTTTTGTCACAGCCCTGAGCGATGTACTTACACTGACCTACCTTGAAGTGTAGACCAGCCCCGAGAGAGCTTTTCTCAGGGAGCACAGTCACTAGCTTTGGGACAGAAAGGGAGACCACGACACGCAGGGATGGAGTGGAGGAAAAGGAATGGAACAGGAGGGATCATAGACTCATACAATCGTAGGATTGGGAGGGACCTCGAGAGGTCATCTAGTCCAGTCCCCTGCACTCAAGGCAGGACTAAGTATTATCTAGACCATCCCTGACAAGTGTTTGTTTAACCTGCTCTTAAAAATCGCCAGTGATGGAGATTCCACCACCTCCATAGGCAATTTATTCTAGTGCTTAACCACCCTGACAGTTAGGAAGTTTTTCATAATGTCCAACCTAAATCTCCCTTGCTTCAATTTAAGCCCATTGCTTCTTGTCCTGTCCTCAGAGGTTAAGAAGAACAATTCTTCTCCCTCCTCCTTGTAACAACTTTTTACATACGTGAAAACTGTTATCATGTCTCCCCCCCCCCGCCCCCACAATCTTCTCTTTTCCGGAATAAACAAACCCACTTTTTCCAATTCTTCCCTCATAGGTCATGTTTTCTAGGCCTTTAATCATTTTTGTTGCTCTTCTCTGGACTTTCTCCAGTTCGTCTACATCTTTCCTGAAATGTGGCGCCCAGAACTGGACACAATACTCCAGTTGAGGCCTAATCAGCGCAGAGTAGAGCGGAAGAATTTCTTGTGTCTTGCTTACAACACTCATGCTATTCTATCCCAGAATGATGTTTGCTTTTTTTTTTTTTCCCCAATAGTGTTACACTGTTGACTCATGTTTAGCTTATGATCCACTATAACCCCCAGATCCCTTTCTGCAGTACTCCTTCCTAGGCAGTCATTTCCCATTTTGTGTGTGGGCAACTGATTGTTCCTTCCTAAGTGGAGTACTTTGCATTTGTCCTTGTTGAATTTCATCCTATTTACTTCAGATAATTTCTCCAGTTTGCCCAGACAGATGAAGGACTGTTTTCTCTAGCAGCTGGAGGATAGGATGGGCAACCAGGACTCCTGGGTCCTATACCTGGTACTGCCACTGGCTTGCTGTGTGACCGTGGGCAGGTGCCACTCTGTGCCTGAATGTCCCTTTCTATACAATGAGGGCAGTCCTCCTTGGACGCGGGGGGGGGGGGGGGGGAGGGTTCTAGGGGAAGAGCCTGGGAGCTGGGCTGCTGTCAGGGCCAGCTCCAGGCACCAGCCGACCAAGCATGGGGCGGCACCTGGAGGGGGGCGGCGCTCCGGCCGGCCGGGGAGAGCTGGGCCGTGGCCGGGCTCGGCGCCCTCCCCTGCTGCGCTCCCCGCCGGGGGGACGGGGGCAGCGGGAGGCTTTTTTGCCTGGTGCGGCAAAAAAGCCAGAGCCGGCCCTGGCTGCTGTCCCCAAGCGGAGAGGCTTACAGGTGGGCCTGGGAGCCCAGCCTGCAGGGTGGGCTGAAGAAGCTTTTTGTTTGGACTCTTGTTACCTTAGAAAAGGGTTGAATTCAGAGTGACCTAGCTGGAGGGCTGAGCCCCCAGGGGAGGCAGGGGACACGTTCAGTGCCATGCTTGGCCAGCTCATGTCTGCGGTGTGCTTTGAGATCTGCGGACAAAAGGCTCGGTGGCAGTGCAAAGAGCTGTTCTCTCAGACTCTGTGTGTGCGGGGGTGGATGACTGACCCTTTTGGGTGATGGATGCTACCAAACTGGATGCTCCTAAATGTGGAGGGAAAGGCGAATGCAGGCTGTGTCAATGGCAGGTGAAAAGGGAGATGGAGAATGCCCAAAGATAGCAGCTCCCAGGGGATACAGGACTGGGAATCTTGAAGTTCTGGTCTCGCTGACTTATTGTGTGGTCTTATGTCATGTCATCTCCCAGTGTCTCTGTCTTCCTCAGCTGTACGGGGAGGATAATGCTTACCTGCCTCATGGGAGCACTGTGTGGGGTTACCTTGCTAGTGACTCTCCAGTGTGTACGAAGAGCTCTAGAGACATTAAGAATTAGTAGGAACTAGAGCTGGTCAAAAAATGCCAAATCACTTTCATGAAAATCTAGATTTTTTTTTTTCTTTTAATTCCTCATGAAAAATTCCAGGTCTTCAGTGAAAAGCCAAAAATGTTTCTTTGAAAACCAAAACCTGAAAACGTTTACCTCTTAATTTTTTTGTCAAACTGAAAAACTTCAGCTATTTCCCTATAAAAACTGTTTTGAGTGAAAAAAACATGTTTGTTTTTAGAAAAATAAAAATAAAAATCCAACTCGCTCTTGCATTCTCAGACTAGTTCAGCAGTACTGTAAATAGGCCAGTTGCACAGTAGGGTTGAACTTGGCCATCTGTTGGCTGGAATAGGATCTGCTTAATTGATTGTCCTAGGCCCTGTACCACTAACAAGTTTAAAGGAGGGTTTACTTAAGTGCAAACACTAGGGGCGGTGCCTTTTTGTATTGGGGGGAGTTGAGTTCTGCCCCCCCACGTTGCCACAAAGCTCCAAGTGGCTATGCAGTGCAGCAGTGACAGCGGTGGGCAAAGCCTGTGACAGCCTACGCGGGAGAGAAGGGAACAGAATGGGCTACACAGTGGCAACTCTCTTGAAATGAACACAGCTACTAGGGATGATTAAGCAGAACTGTGTGTGTGTGTGTGTGTGTATAGACAGTTCTAGTTCTCTTTATAAAGTGTGTATGTTCTGAATTGCCCTACTTAAGAGCAAAACCAACTTACCTTCCTGGGGCACAACCACCATCCCCACAACAATCTGTATCTTGCCTCTCACTGTGTGTGTGTATATATCTATAGGCCCTGATCCTGTAGCCTTCTATGCATGTGTTTAACTTTACACGTGTGAGCAGTCCCAGCCAAGGTGGGGGCCATCTTACGTGCCACCTCTTCAAATGTGCACATGCACTTTGGCGTGACCTGACCTGTGCTCCTAGGTCTTGGGGGGGGAAGGATGAATGTGTGTGCACAATCTGTTTGTACAGTTACCAAGCCCTGCACATGTGCAAGCTGGCCCGTGGCATTAGTGCAAGCAGGTGTGTCTGTGTGCACGTGTGAAATGCTGGTCTGTACAATTAGAGCCAGGGAGATGAGTGTCTTTTCCTTTAATAAAGGAGCCCTAGTCGGTGTGTGTGCATGTGTGTGCAAATGACAAGCTTTTATACATGATCACGTCCCCTACCGCACAGAGATTGAATCTGGAAAATGTCCCCCCACCGTTCAGATACAATAGATAATCTATCCACACCCTGTACCAATTGGCAACTGCCAAGGGGCAGGCTGCTCCCCCAACGCGTGCTGAGTGTGGGCGGGGAGTACACAGGCAGCCCTGCCCACCCTCCGGATGACACTAGCTGGGGAGAAGGGGGAAGGAGGAGCTGCTCAGAGCTCAGCTGAGAGCATCTGAACCTGGATAGTCCTGGGAAAGGCAGGGATCCCGGCACGTCGGGGCGCAGCGCTGCAAGGAACGGCCCTACATCCCAGAGAAAATAGGTGCTCTTTATGGCATGTGGCTGGTAACTTTTTTCCTGCTGTACTCTTTGCAAAAAGGTATGTCCCTTCCTGGGGGGGGGCTTTTTTTTGGGGGGGGGCTGGTGTTACTCTTTGGCCAGTGAGCTCGAGTCCTGTGCCTTCTGCGAGTGTTAAAAAGTGCCTGGCTGCCCCGGCCGAAGGGGGTGAGGGGACGGGCTGCCCCGGCCGGGCAGAGCGGGGTCAGGGGCTGCACCCCAGAGGTGCTGGCCGAGGGAGCCCGGCCCTGGCCCCGCACCTGAGCCGGAGCCGATCCCCCCGGCGGCGGGGGCGCTGTCCGAGCGGGGGTGAGCCCCGAGGGGCCGGGCAGCAGCGCGGGGCTGGGTCTCTGGGGGGCAGCTCCCCACGGGGCTCGGAGTTGGGGCTCTCGCAAAGTGGCTCTGTGAGCCCCCCCCCCAGGGGCTGCTGCGTTTAACCCCTTCGAGTCCCGGGTGGGGGGGGAGGAGGCACCACTGTCGGGCTGGTCCTGCTCTGAGCAGGGGCTTGGACTCGATACCTCCTGGGGTCCCGTCCAACCCTGATCTTCTCTGATCTGGGGGGGGGGTTGTGCAGCGCCTTCCCCGGGGCCAGCTCTGACTTTCCGGGGGGGGGGGGCAGCTCCCAGCCCAGCTGCAACGACTTGGATTAATTCAACAGTTAATGATGGTGACGGTGTAATTGCACAGAGCAGGAGATGGGGGGGGGGCAGGACACGGCTCGCCAGCGGAGGTACCCAGGGGGCTGGCTGGGTCTCTGGGCTCAGGTTGCCATGGGGCTAATCAAGGTCCAGGGGACGGGCAAGCCCAGACCTGCAGCTCCGGCTGCAATGCACCTGATCCCGGGGAGGGGGCACTCCCCCCCCCCCAGCCCCTTTCCCGGGGTAGGACCGGGTCGGTGAGGCTCTGCCCAGACGGGATGCTGAGCCCGGGGGCTATGGGGTGCTTGGGGGGGGGGGAGCTGCTAGCGCTGCATTTGTAAAGACCCCCCCCCGGCTAATCACGGGGAAGGGTCTCTTTGGAGGGGGGTCTTTGCTTCACTACAATAAACAAACCCCCTCGAGACGTTTACCGGTGGCTGGGCGGAGGAGGGTGTTTGAAACCCGCAGCTGGGGAGCACACCGCTGGCATGGGGCCCTGCCCGCTCCCTTCTGCCTCTTTGCAACCCCCCCCTGCATCCTCTTCCCCCGGGAGAAGGCAAAGGGGCGGCGGGGGGGGGGGGCTCCTCTTTGGATGGAACCTGCAGCAGAGCCCGTGTGGCCCCATTACAATGGATCTGGGCGTTCGATTCGGAGCCGAGGTGACGCCGCGACTTCTGCCTTGAGCCCAGGAGCCCCAACTCCAAGAGTTTGCTGGCGGAGGCTTTTTCATGGGGGCAGCGGATCCTTGCAGTGCTGATCATTAGTGATGTTAACTCTTTGCAGCCGCTGAAATCCCTACGGTAGCCTCTCGCGGGGGGAGAAAGGATAAAGCCCCATTCCCCACACAGCTCTCCAGCCCCACAGAAGCGCCTTAATGACATGAATATTAAAATGTTTTCTATACCTACCCAGCCTCTCTTTGTGCAGGCAAGATTTCAAAGGCTAAAGCTTGTAGCAGTACTTTTTAAAAGCTTTGTTCTGCTGTCCTTACTTCCCAACGACTATTGACAGCAATATTCGAATCCCATAAAACAAACTCAATCCAGGGATGCTTTTAAATCCCAGCCTCTCCTCTAGGAATGCTACGTTAAATGTAACCCAGCGGTTTGATCCCTCAGATTGGGGCAAAAAATTACTGTGAAGTAAGTGTGTCAAGGAGACACAACACTTGATTAATTGTAAATTGGGGATTGCTAGCATCATCCAAATCTGTATGTGTGGTGCTGTAAACTGAGGTCCCCAACTATAGATGCAATTGAAAATGAAAGACATCTGCTTATGACATTGGTAGTTAAATTACAATCCATTTGTAATAATATTTCATTGGTGTTAGCTAAAAAAGCTACCCTGCTCTGATTTTATAGGGATTTTTGTTTGTTATTTTTGTAGTAAATTACCTTTTTATTTATTATCTGGTCCACGAATGTAATAACAGAAACGTCCATGTTATGGAAAATGAGCTACTTTCAGCGTATAAAACCTTTTCTTTAATAATCGCTTTCATCATATGAAAACAGCAAGAGGCAATCTTAGGAAATAGGTAGCGGTAGTGGGCTGCATCCTTAAATACGATTGTTATTGTATATTAAATACCCTTTTATTTTAATGTTAATTATATTAACATATTTACTGAGATTTAATGGTGCATCCTGTGTGGTTGTAAAAGTCAATTATTAAATATGAAATAGTCTTATGAAAGCCAGAATCAATCTGTGTTTGGGAGCTTTAGACAAAATTGCTATTGTTGGACATGCTTTTAGAAGCTGCTGTACTGAACATGGAAGCGTCTGCTTTGCCTATATTTGCATGTTTACTGTGTAAAAAGGAAAAACCAATAACCATCCCAGGCACAAAGTCTCTTTTCCCCCCAACATTGAAAATAATAAATCCAACACAGCCCATTAGTATTTGTGCACATTTTCAGCCCCAGCCCCTCAGAAAAGAGTCTCTGCTACGGAGCTCTCTCGTCTGAGAAGAGCAAATTAAAAGCCTCCATTAGCACTACACCTTATGGCCTCATTATTTTTTTTTCTCTTTTCAGTTCAAGAGAGATTTTATTTTTAAGAGTCTCTGTGCTGAAAGTGTTAAAGTGGAACAATTCCAGAGAGAGGACAGTAATACAGTGGAAGTTTCATTATAATAGGATAAAAAATTGAATTGCTTAATGCATGATAAACCTTTCAGATACTTAATTCTTCTAGGTATCAAAGCACAACCATTTAATACATTTCTGCTGTAGAACAAGAGCTCAATTAGAAACAAAAAGCAAATAAACATTTGATCTCAGGGACCACTAAAGTTTAGAAATCCCTCAGTAGACTGTAGCTGTTTATTTTTTTTTTTTTTTAGCTTATAAAATAAAAATAGGCAGTTAACAAGCGGGGAGTTGAGCGAAAGAGGGCTTGGTGGTTGATTATACAAATTAAAGAGCAGCCGTAACAATGAGAGGGAGGGCGATGTAAATTGGAAGCTGTATGATCAGGAGGAGCATACAAGTCAAAATCTTGATATACTTAAACTGGGGGAATAATCTCCCTGTATGATTTTGCTGGAGTTCTCTGCCTGCTGATTTGTGATGTTGGCATTTTGTGTACGCTGTGTTCAAATATTAGAAGCAGTGAAATATGTTGCTTCCATTTTTTAATCTCTCCCCCTGTGCCCCCCAGTGTGGTACGGCGCTCATTTATCTTGGAAATGAAACGTGGAATCCACGAAATCCACGGAGGTAGAGCTTGCAGTACTGAAGTCCTGGCAGTGCCCAGCGTCGTTATTTTACGACACCAGGGCCATGATGGCAACTTGCTAAGAGACCAGCATCTACGCCTTGCTCAGATCTAAAGCTCTATGTGCCGTAAATGAAGAATCAACACATGCAACCCTAATATTTTCTGGTACTTGTGTTCTTCAGAAGGGAATAGCAATCATGCCTTGTCAGTTTGCCCGTGTTAGGAGCCTTTGTCCTCACCCAGCTTGCAGAGGTTGGCAGTGGGTTGTGAATTTAGGAATCCACTGGCCATGCTTTGAGCACCTACAAGACACCATATGTGTCCAATGTGGTGCCCTCCTTTCTGCCTGTGTGGCACTGAGGTGCACCTGCCTCGTTTGAACCAGCTGCTGAGCTCAGTGTGAGAATCAAATTGGAGGTGTCTTTGTGGAAAGAATTCTCCTGACATGGAAGCGTGTGAGTTTTGAGCTGTATGTTGGATAATGTGAATTCAGCAGGCTCCGAAATAGGCAGGCTGTTACATTCAACTTGCTAGGAGAGAATGAAGCACAAATGTATTTGATTATTTCAGGAGACTTGGAAGTACTCTGCTGGTGAGTTTACACGGTGGTTAGTTAAGGCCCAAAATTTTATGCACCTTGAAACCAAAATTCTAAGTAGCTTTTTTTTTTCTTGTAAAGAATCTTTCCTCAGATTCTTAAATTAAAAACAATCCCTCAATGCCCCCATAGCATTGCAAACACCCCTTGCTGACTAAGCTGTATCAAATATCTAGAAACCCAGTTCCTTGGCCTTTGCTAATCTGCTGACCAGACCAGGAATTACATTTTGAAAGGCCTGTGGGAACCAAAGATAGCCAACATTCATTCTAGCGAACTGGGGAAAAGTACACAATGGAGTGGATTTCAGTACTCCCCTCTGCCTAGTCAGTCTATTGATTCCCTTTTTGGTTTATTTCTTACACCTTGTGGGGCATGTGAGGGAAATTGCCCTCTCTGCTTGTAGAAGAGTGCAGGCTTAGGGCTAATGAAAATCATGGCCTGCTGGCTCGGGACAGAGCCTAGCAGCTGATGTGCACGCTCCTCGGATGTACCACAGTCCGGACCTTAGTCCAGGCCTGAGCCTCCCTTGATTGGACACTTGACCTGGTCCTGAAATGTGTGTTGGCTCAGTGATGTCACCAAATGTCCAGTGGAGACTCCGGTGAAACTTGCCAGAATTGCTGCGTATGTGACATAAGCAGAACTTGAAATCAGGTCTCCAGAGATGAAAGGCTGGTGCATTCACCCCCACTCTGGCTCAGCGTATTCCCTTTGTCTAGTTCTGCGTGTCCCCCTCGCAATATCCCGGTGTAGAGGGAGGAGGTGGAGGATTGCGTTTCAAGCTCCTCTTTTGGTTAGGTTTGCCTTGCAGAGGTAGGGCTCCAGGTAATGTCCTTGGAGAGTTGTTGTGTTTTCTGTGCAGGGATTGAGGGTGTGCTCGTTTGATCAGAACTTGGTGTACGTGCTCCGTCTGGTTTGGGTGTGTGCAAATGGCACCTGCAGAGACACTGACTTCTCAGCTATCTGGAAGATGGGAGTTGAGTCTGCTCTGCCTCTGTGCTGATTTGGGCTGTGAGCCCAGCATCAGATCTCACCTCTAGGTGCCACTGCAACTAGGATTTGGGGTTCAGTGGTGCTCTTCCCTCCTAACAGGTGCACAGGGCCTCAGCATGATGGGGGGCGTTGTGATGCTGGGGGGTCCTGACCACGTGTAGTTAATGTTTCCATATTATCCTGCTAAAGGGTAGGATGGCAACTCCAGGTGCATTTGGAGTCATTGCACTTTACCCACTAAATTCCTCTTGCATTTTGACCTGGACTCCATATTCTTTCACTTTCTGTCCTAAACTCCTACTTTTAAGGCTCCTGTGTGCATCTCATCTCAGAGTATACAGACGTGTGTGGCTTGTGTGAAGTGCCTTGGGAGGAAAGGTGCTGTGTAAATGGGGTGTTAGTGACCGCCACCTCTCTGAGCTCTTGGGTCATGCATGGTGGGAAAAGCCAATGCCTTGGGCCTGAAAGCCACATACTGTACACACTGCATTAAGCATTTAAAACTGCACCTTTTTTGATGAATACACATGCTGAAAACTTCAGCTTGCGCAGTTTCTTGGGCAGGACTCAAGCCTGAACTTCAGGTGATAGGGTTGGGGTGGATTCATGGTCACTCTGCCGTGGCTTCTCATTAGAGTAAACGAGTGTTTTCCAGCCAACGCAGCTTTCTGCAGTGCCGAGGGCGGCTCTGCTTCTAAAGAGAGTGCAGTTTCAAGAGTCCAGCGAACAAGACTAGTAAATATTGCTAAGGGATGATAACAAAATGACTCACTTTTCCCAGCTGAGATGGAGGTATTAATATTTCAATACCCTAGGTTGTAATTTACTGTGATTTAAGAAGATTGCACGGTGATAACTCAAAACAGATACTCCTCAGTGCTAGCTAGGCACGGTCCCTCTACATACTAGTCCACCTGTGCCGCTCTCATCCGCAGAGTTCAGGTCTCCAGCACTCAATACATATTGTCTCCCAATAGGAAACGGGTCCATTTTCACCACGCCCACCCCAGCGTTTGAGGGCTGTATAAATTAATGCCCTCGATATTTAGGTTAGGGTCAACGCATGTGACCAGATGCCAGCAGCGATTTCTGGTTTAAAAATATTGCAGTGCTATTTCTAAATTTTTAATCTCTCTCAGTGATTTGGAGACAGTTTTATGAAACATGGGATTAGGATGGTGCTCAATGTTAAATGGTAAAGGAGATTATATGGATTTAACTCTATGCGTCTGTCACATAACTACTACCAATCCCATAACTTCCATTTTCTATTAAAAATCCATTTTCCCCTTTGACCTGAAAAAGCTTTGCTGGTAATCTGAATTTCTCTCGTTATTTATGAGGTATTTTTCCATTCCTCCCCCCACCCCCTCTGTGTATCCAGCATGCAAGAGTGATGTCTGCAGAGAACATTGTTCTCTAGCAGGATGATATCTGATCATTGCATCTTACAGCTGGCAACATGTCCTGCAAATTGTGGCTTCCATTAGAGCAGGGATACTCACTTGGGGGTCAGCGCTGTCGATTCTGCCTGCTCTTGGGCAGAGCAAGTGGAACGCTCATGGGGACTAGCGGGGAGCCCTGCTGCAATAGTGCAATGCGGGGGGCTGAGAAAAGAGATGGGATGTGAAGGAGTTACTAGAATCCCCCCTCTTCTCACACACAGCTAAAAGGCACCTCTAGGATTCCAGGAGGGGCTGTGAGGTGCGGGGGTGGATGAAATGGGAGAGGGACTGTGGCATGGACCAGAGTTGCAGAGAGCTACAGAATATTCATGGTTCTAGGTCCTTACATGACACATGTAGCTACACAGCAGAAAGGATGTTCTATTTTCTGTGTGCTCTACCTTTAAAGGTAGAGCTGTCTCCATGCCATCTTGTGTTTCAGGGCACATGCAGAATGTTACCACAGTGGTAGCACACAGATGCTTTCTCTCTGCTTGTTTTCCTTCATCTGATTGTAAATACATATTTTGCTCTCGTGTATGGGCAAGATGAGCGTCAAGAAGAGCAGAAATGCTGATTCATCACAACAAACCAGCCTTAAGACATTATATTTTGATAGCTCCTTGGAGCCCCTGTCGTAGGCTAGGGCCCACTGTGCTAGGCTCTGCACTGCCACAGAACAAAAGGATGGCTCCTGCTCCAAAGAGATTAGATGTCACAACGTGATTGTTTAGTGGCACCGTGCCACTGAAAGCCCAAGTAGCTTTTCAAAGGCCATCAGAGGATCAGCTGTAGATTGTCTTACCCCGTGTTTGTCACAAGTCTCCTAGCATTTGTCAGCCCAATGAGAAAAAATAAATAAATGTCTTTGTCCCTTTCTGTCTGCACATGGGCTCATTTGGGGGGAGGGGATGAAGCTTCTTTTCTTTACCTGTAAATCTGTTGTTTAATCAGCAGTAACATTCCTAATCAATTCATCATTGGTACCTACCAGTTTGTAGCCACAATACTGACTGCAGCATCCTTGACTTGGGCTAATAGAACTCTGGGTAGTTTGAGAAAGGAAATTTTGTTGTTATAGCTGATGTTCCTGCTCAAAACATGGAGAGGAACAAGAAATAGGCTGTTTAATGGGTGCTGAGAGAGAGAGAGATTATATTTCCATCTCCAGAAGGATTAAATAAGAGGGGGAATTATTTAGTGGGTAGAGTAGAGGGCTCCTTGGTTGTATTCCCAGCTCAATGAGAGAGCATGTTCTGGTGGTTACAGCAGGGGACCAGAGCCAGGACTCCTGGGTTCTTCCCTTCCTGGGGTTCCCTCTGATTCACTAAGACCCCATGGGCACTTTACTTCACTGTGCCTCAGTTTCCCCATCTCTATAAAACAAGAATACCTAACTCAAGTGCCATGATGTCTAATCTTCTGTGGAGTTGCTCTGATAAGTTCTCTAGAAGTGTAGTTCCATTATTACTATTGTCACCTGCACCTTAAAGATACTGTTGTGTAAAGTAAAATAACAACACTCCAGCGCTTGTTTCCCCCCCTTCCGCTCAGGAAAGCCTGAGCCAGCTGGTGACGTGACACTTACCCATGGCAAGGAGCGTGGTTCCAAACACCCGTCCTGATGAAAACACAAATATTATTTTTTCCGTGGAGGCTGGTGCTGATGGTCTCCTCACAGCTTTGTGATGTGATGTGAGTTGCTCTGGCCAATAACGCTTTAATAGCCTTTTCTCAAATGAGCAGTCATGAAGCATTCTCCCTGGAGGGGCAGCTAAAAGCTAAGCTAAGAATATTAATACAGATGAGACTCTTTTCCCTTCTCCCCCTCTTCTCCCTCCCCCCAAAGTTGAAGAAATTGAGGTGACGAAGGGTCCCCTGTGACTCATTCTAACCCAGCAGTAGAGTAGTTATTTGCTTATTGGCCCTGCTATAGCACAAGCAGAGGGATCGTGCTCTCCCCTAGAGCTATTAATACCCTGACACCGATCACTGCTTTCTATATTAGTGTCCTTTGCCTACGTAAAAGTAGTGCAGTTAAAAAATCGGTTCCAAGCGACTTGGCACCTTGACGGCAAACTTGTCCCCTCCCCTTCCAGGTTTGAGGCGTCAGTGGGAAGGAGTCGGAGTGGAGCAGCCGGAAGAAGGAGCTGGGAGGGACAGGCCTTTCCGCCTGCACTGGAGGAGGAGGAAGGTCAAGGGAAACTTTCCTCCTCTTCCAGGCCTTGGCTGCAGTTTGGGAGACCCGGCTGTGAAGAGCTGCTCCCTTGGAGACTGGCAAAGCCCCATTGCTCTCACACAGCTTCCTGTCACAAAACCATCCCCACGCTTTAGAATTCTGCCTGGCTGTTTCTGGGGCCTGTTGTCTGAGGAGACCTCTCAGGAGGTGTCCGATGGTCCATGGCCGCCTCTTCCCTCCCTAACTCAGCTGGCCCAGGGGGTGGGGGAGGGGGCGGACAGGTGACTTACCTGTGGGGAGGCTCTCACAAGGGCATCCTGGGAAATGTAGCTTACATTAGTCGTAGGTGTCCTAGCGATTTTGGGAAATTGCTGTCCTGTGAAAGGGCTGGGGTTTCCAGGGCATCCCCTCAGCCCTGGCCCAGCTGCTGAGGAGAGCAGTGACCTATGTAGCTAGGAGAGGCGGGAAGTACCTGGCCACTGTGTCCATACACCAATTTACCCGCTCCGTTTGGGGCTGTTTGCCGCTGCCTGAGGAAGGCTCCCGGGGCGTGTCATTGGGAAGCCGTTGTTCTGCAGGCAAGAGGAGTCGGATGTTTGCAGTAACTCTCTGCTGTTGGCTCTGGTCTCTCCACAGCACACACTGAAGATGTTGGAACCAGTCTCTACTTTGTGAACGACTCTATCCAGCAGGTGACCTTCTCCAGCACAGTTGGGGTGGTGATCCCCTGCCCCGCAGCAGGGTCACCCAGCGCCGCCCTTCGCTGGTACCTCGCCACAGGGGACGACATCTATGATGTACCGCACATCCGGCATGTCCATGCCAATGGGACTTTGCAGCTCTACCCCTTCTCGCCATCAGCCTTCAATAGCTTTATCCACGACAATGACTACTTCTGTACCGCGGAGAACTCGGCGGGCAAAATCAGGAGCCCCAATATCCGCGTTAAAGCAGGTAGGGCCGTGGGCGGGGCCGGGGCTCGGAGGTGGTGGTGGGTTCTCTGGTGTCCTGTGTTTGTGACGATGATTAGCTCATTTCTGTGTCCCGACTGATTCTCTCCAGTGCCACGGAATTGCCTGAAGTGGCTGATATGGTGAGCTCACTTCATCAACCGTTCACAGGATCAGGCCCGCAGGCAGCGCAGTGGCCAGCAGTGAGCTCCAGGGGCCTCCTGCCTGTATCTTCAGTTAATGGGTTCCCTTCAGTGGGTTTAGAGCAGTATCTAGCACCTCTTGCCACGTGAGCACCAGCCTCTGCAGAGAGAGCAGGTCCTAGCAAGGGCCCAAAGTGGGCACTGCCTTGTGTGCCAGCAACCAGAACAGACAATAACGTCATTTTTACCTGGTACCTTTTGTATTGCGTCTGCCTTGCAGCCCTTCACCGTAAAGGTGCCAATAGTGCAGGCCAAGGCGGCAGCCTCTGGGCTCAGCTTTAGCTCATACTCAGCTGTGGACTTCAGTCTGTTTCCTTGGGAAGTGTATTCGCCAGGATGTTTGGGTATCGTCTGGCACCATTTCCAAGAAATGGGATAGAGACCACAGAGTCCTGTGGCTTGGGTACAGGAGACCAAGGTTCTAGTCCTATCTCTGCTGCTAATTCTCTGCATGACCCTGGGCAAATCACTTAATTTTTCCTGCCTTGCTTCCCATCTGTGATATGAGGATGATGATACTTACCTGTCTCTCAAGAAAAAAGACTGTGCTAAGAATCTATCAGGTGGGCTCTGTAGCTTGGACGTGGCCCATGGAAAGCACAAGGATTTAGTCTCTTATTAAGAGCTTAGCTTTTCTCCCCATGTATTGTGCCAGAGAATAGAGCAGACAGCCTGGGGTGAAACTTGAACCTGTGACCTCTGGGCCTGGAGGTGAGTTTTACCGAGTGAGCCTTCCTGACATGATGAATACAGTATTTATGGGGATGTTCTTGGCACTCCTGCGGGAGTGACCTGTGGAGCCTGAGAGTGTGTAGGCTAAAATGCAGCTGCCATGTGGCTTTGCGTGCTGGAGAGGCTTTTCCAGCAAGGCCGTGGAACTGGGACTGTAGTGGTCTATTGCAAGAGGATCGATCGATGTCAGCATAGACAGATAGTAGATATGAGGGCAGGGTGTTGGACAAACAGGAGGCGGAGTGTCAATAATGTTTCAAAAACTGCATCCTACCCAAGCCAAGAACAAACAATAATTTAGGCCACTTGCTGGTCGGGAGAGCTCTGCAGTGTGATTAGCGGGGAAGAGAGCTGAGGGCCATCCTAGTGCTGCAAACTGGGGATGGCTCTGGGGGAAGCTGATAGTAACAAGAGACCATGGGTCTCCGGGAGTGATCCCTGACTGGCAAAGGCCAAGCCCCTTCAAATATTAGGAGAGCCAGGCCCTGCCATGTCCCACTGGGACAAAAGCCTCAGTTCCATCCACCTGAGAAGACTGCCCCAGAGCAAGGCAGGAGAGGAAGGGTCATGGGGCTTTCCCAGAGGGCTGTTGTGCTGGTACAGCCCAGCCAGCTACAACAGTGGGTCATGGTTCTAATGATGACAGTGCAGCTAGGTAGATGTGGAAGAGTAGATGCAAAAGTGACTACTTCTTCAAGAAGGGCATAAATCCCATTATCTTCCAGGGACTATGACCCGCCTGCAGCAGAACAAGAGGGGATGCTTTATTCACTGCAATCTTTGAACCCTTCTGGAAGTGGGACGTGGGTACAGAAATCTTGCATCTTTGCGGGGTTAGACTATATGACCCTGGTGATCCCTGCTAGCCCCCTATGGTTCTGTGATTGCTAACCAGACGTGTGTCTCAGCGATTGAAGTAGCAGGACAGCAGGCTTGGAGTCCAGGGCTGGGGAGCAATGGAGAAAGCCAGGGGCATCTTCTCTTCTCATTCATGCCACTGAGATCTAGAATTGCCAGACTGCACCAAGCCTGTTGTGGAGATCAGACACTGGATTAGATGGACTAGTGGCCAGAGCCAGATGTTTCAGAGGAAGGTGCAAGAACCCATGCCGTAGCTAGCAGATGTGGGATAATCTGCCCCGTGAAGGTCTCATCCCGACCCCCGTAGTCAGAGATGGACTCCAGCTTTGCAGCATGAGGGTTTATCTTCATTCCCAAACTCCTGTTAGCATCAATTATAGTAACTCCTGGATAGTCTTGTATAATTGTCCAGTCCTTCAGCAGGTCCTCCCAAGGGGGGAACCCCCCCCTGCCCCATTAACCCCCCTTCCTAAGCCCCTATATCTGCATTGCAGGCTCCAGCCCAACCACCCCAAGACTTCTAAGAAAACAAAAGGAGGAGGAATATAGCCAAGTGCTGCTTTCCAAAGTGATTATAGTAAATTATTGACCAGGCTGAGGAGGGCTAATAGCCCAGGAATGACTTCATTATGTAACCTATTAAAAACAGGGCTCGCACAGAGAACACAGCCGAACAGACTAAAGGGTGTTTTTATTTTAATTCATTATACTGCAAAGTAAACTGGCATGAAACCCCCTCCTGCCCAGAGAGTGAATTATTTACCAGCATTAGCAGTTAAGCTCTAAACCAAAGCAGACGGGAGTGAGCAATTCGCTGGGGTGTATGTTTAAGGGAGGGGAATGTAAATAAATGTTTGTCAGATGTGTGACATGTTGCAGCTCGAGTCAACCCAGCTTCCCATCTGCGTGGAAGTTTAACTGTGGCTGTCTAATAAGTAGTACTAATACCTAGAGACACCAGGTGGGTGAGGTAATATCTGTTATTGGACCAACTTCTATTACCTCACCCACCTTGTCTCTCTAACATCCTGGAACTGACAGCTCCAGCTACACCGCATACAACCAATACCTGGCACTTCTGTACAACTTCTCAGCCATCCGACAAAGGAGTCATTATCCCTATTCTACAGATGGGGAAACTGAGGCACCAAAGTGCAGTGGCTTGCCCAAGGTCACCCAGTCAGCCAGTGGCATCCAGGTCTCCTGAATCACAGTCGATGCTCTGTCCGCTAGGCCACGCTGTGAAATGGCTCCCAGCAGGGATGGAACCAGGTGGTGGGCTCTGTGATCTGGCAAGAGGCAGGCAGAGGGGAGGTATGCGGAGGGTGCTGTTGTAACTGATGCTTGTGCCTGAGAACAAGAGCAGCTGGCCCAACTCTGCTGGCAGCTGCCTCTCTGCTGCAGGACCCCGTCTCTCAGCCCTTTGAGGGTATCCAACATTCCAGCGGTTTGCTTAGTTTGCATCAGGCATGGTGGCCACATGGTCCTGCTTCTGCTCTCCAGATGGAGGAGGAGCAACACACCTGCAGTCAGGTTTCCAGAGTGAATACTCGCATCTGGGGTCCAACATTCTTTTCCTGTTTCACCCCCCTCCCCAAAGCCCCCCCCAAAACCTTCCAACTCTCTAGTAATGACTTAAAACGTGCTGTTTCTGCAGACACTCCCGCCAGGGCCCAGCTGGGCCAGGGTGTTCACGGGAAGCAAATGCTGGGCGTGGCAGATTCAATTTCGTTGTTGTTCCCTAGGAAGTTTCTAGAGGTGAAAATCCATCTCCTGTCACAGCTGTCTGGCCCTGCAGGCCAGGGTTCCTGTTACTCCCTCTAGACACTGAGGTGAGGTGACATGCCCAGGGAGATGCAGTGAGTCAGTGGCAGGGCTGGAGCCCAGGAGTCCTGACTCCAGCTCCCTGTTGTAAATACTAGACTTGCTGCACCCCATGGAGTGACTGCAGGCTGCTGCTGTACAGTGCTGTGGCTTTCATCTCTTGTATGAAGGTGGGCGTTGCAAGTCTGAATTGGCTTTCAGCTGGTAGTCCAGGCCAGTGCCACCCCTTCTCATTCAGTAGGTACCCATGGGACCTCCTCACAGGATTCCCCTGGATGTCCCCAGGACAGCTCAGTCCATGACAGTTATTTGAGTTTGGCTTTAGGGGAGTTGGAAACACTTAGAAATAGAAGTTGGGATTTTTGCTCATGACTGTGCTTCTGTTCCCACCTGTTTCCTTTATGCTAATCAATTATCCTCTTGTCACTGACATCCCGTCTCCAAACACTCTTCTTCTGTAGCCTTGTAATGGCAATGCCCTGAAAAAGGCTATTTAAACCAGCAAACACACAATAAACTGAAATGTAAAGTTGAAAACTTGAAGATTTTAGAGAAGAGGCACCAGGAATGATTCGAGGTCTGTATAACCTGCCTTCTAGTGAGGGACTTGCGATGCTCAATGTGTTTTTAGCTTGCCCAAGAGAAGGGATAAGGTGAGTTGATCACAGTTTTACAAGTACATGGGGCAGAGATTTCTGATAGAAAACAGCTCTTTAATCTAGCAGAGACAACATGATCTAGTGGCTGCAAGCTGAGACTAGACAAATTCAGACTAGAAATAAGGTGCAATTTTTAACCCTTAGAACAACTTACCCAGGGATGGGCTAGTTTCTCCATCACTTAGACTCTTTAAATCACGACTGGCTGGGTTTTAAAAGGTCCAGCCTAGCTCAGGCAGAAGTGAAGGGCTTGGTACAGATTCCAGGGCAAGGTTCTATGCCTCTGCTAAAGCAGGAGGACCGGCTAGGTGACGAGAAGGGACACTTCTCTCCTAACCATCTAGGCAGGAGTAAGCAGCTCCTGTGTAACTGACAAGGCTCCTGCTCACCAATCCACTCTGGTCCTTGAGCTGCGCTCTGCTGCAGAGCAATGAGTGTGTCCTCTTGGGCCTGCCTCCACCAGCCCTCTGCCTTCCCCCAGACCCCGGTCATCTGCTATGTTTGTCTAGTCTGCTTGGCATGGGGTCTCTTGGGGGCACAGAGCATGCCCTCCTGTGCACCTGCAAAGCACCATGCACATATGTATCAATACCTGGTGAGAGGGAGGTTTGTCTGAACTGTAGCCCCCTCTCCACCCCCCAACATTCAAGTGAGGGTGGCTTGTCAAGCCAGCTGGTGCCCTGGATCTGTGCTCTGAAGGTGCGTTCGCTGCTGACCGGCGGCCTTCTCAGCAACTGCTCGGGTTGGGCCAGCTTGTCACCTATTATTTCACTGCAGTTCAGCACCTCCTGCACCAGACTGCTGGCAGGTTTCACTGGGGCTTCCTGAGGGATGGGCTGCCACTTGCCTCCAGCCTGTGAGCAGTTTTCTGTCTTGAGCTCTTGCAGTAAAATCATCAAGTCTGAAAGCTGGGCACTTAGAGGGGAGGAATTTCAGGCAGAAGCAGCATCACCTTCTGTCTTACTTATTAAATACTCCTTGGGCCTGTTCAGAGGAGGCAGAGTCAGCACCTGCCAACAGATATGTTCAGTGCTGGAAGCACCCCCCCCCCCCGTGGCTGTTGAGAGTTTTCTACTAAAACACGCGTTGGATTGTTGCTGTTCTGGCCGGGGGGGGAGGGGGAGCCGCAGATGACCCGGTGATGTCTGTCTGTCTGTCTGTCTGTCTCTCCAAGGGGGTGAATAATAAGAAACCAATGTCTTTTGGGGCAGGCATGTTGTCATGACAAGATCACGCACCCACGTGCTAGGCTAATATTAAATGGAAAATATTTAAACATGACCAGTTCTTGCTGTGTCTGCCTGCACTCCCTATTGGCTGCACTGACGTGTCTCCTTACCAAAGAGACCGTGGGACGTTCAGCCGATCAAGCAAACTGATCCAGTGCTTCGTAGAGTTCATTAGGGCTGCTACTAGTCTGGATAATCCCTTGTTATTTCCCCAGAGAGAGAACGCTGCAGAGTGGCCAGGGCACGCTGTGGGCGTTGCTGGGTCGCACTGCAAGGGGAAGCGCTGTCTGCCCTAGCGCCCTGGGCAGACCCCACTTTGGGGAATTGCATTCCCCCTCTCTTCAGTTTCAATAGGGTACCATTTTCTACCTCCCTCCTGTGCCCTAGTGCCGAGCAATGCTGACGCACGCTCAGCTCCTGCCCAGACCCAGCTGCATTTCAGCAAGAGGAGAAATTATTCTTCCCTGCCTTGTGCAAGGCCTGCCCCGCTGAGGTGCTGCCTGCATCCGGAGAGCTCTGGGCACCCGTGGCCCCTGCAAATGGGAACCCCTGCCTGGCAGGAAGGAGGGTCCCTTTGGAGGAATTTGCCCAGAGAGAGCAGGGATTGTTGGCTCCAGGCCTACGCTCACTAGAAGTGTGAAACCTGCACTGTTGCTGTGGGATTCTGCCAGTCCCTGCCGTGCTCTGGTGCCCGAGAAGAGCTACTTCCTCCTCCCCAAATGCTGCCCTGTGCCCTGCTGGGCCGGCACAGAACCCTCCCATGGTGGGGAGGGGTGCTGGGAAGTGCTGCTCTGCCCTGCAGCGAGCTGCTTCCCACCCCAGGAGGGCTCTTCCCATGACTTGACAGCGGCCGGGGGGTGGAGGGAAGTGGCTGGGGGCTGCGAGTGCCTGGGAGGAGGTGCACCTGGGATGTGATTTGTTGCAGTGAGGGGATTGCAAGGGCCTTGCTGCTTTCAGTGGCATGGTGGCACGGGAGGAAGTGACCCCCTGTTGCTATGCTATAGTCTGTCGCTATGTCCTGCTGTGGGTTGTACCGAGAGGTGTGGGTTGGTGTGGCACCTCCTTACTGGCCGATGCAATAATTTAAATGCCCCACTTCAGAGCCGTTCCCAGAAAACGATACTTCTTGGCATCTCTCTCCTGTTTGGGCCCCGTGAGCACATGGGATGTTGAGACCCCCAGACACATGTGCATATGTGAATTCGCTCTCCCTCCAGCTCATCCCTTGTGGCAAACGCTGGAGCTGCTCAAAATGTGGAATTAAAAAACAATCTTTGGGAACTGTTTAAATTAATGTGTTTGTGCCCAGTGCAACTTGGCATCGGTGCGTTGATCGTCTGCTTTTCTTTCTGCAGTTTTCAGGGAACCTTACACCGTCCGGGTGGAGGATCAAAGGTCAATGCGTGGAAACGTGGCTGTCTTCAAGTGCCTCATCCCTTCTTCAGTGCAGGAATATGTTAGCGTTGTGTCCTGGGAGAAAGATACTGTTTCAATCATCCCAGGTAAGAGAGGAGCAGGAGGGGGACCCTCCATTCTCCCAGCGAATACTAACTGCATTGCCATGTGCATGAATTGTTGTACACGGAGCTCTTTTGGGTTTTTCTCTGTCCCTGGGCCCCAAAAGCAAGGGTTTGCTGATGAATCATCTTAGTACGAAAGCCGAGCCTGTGGGCTGGATTTACATTGGAAATGAGCGGGGTTTGACTGCACTGTGTATTCGGTGGCGCCTGTTGTATTGCCAGGATTGCAGTGTGTGCTTTGAGGCTCCTAGGTGCATAAAACTGAAGTGTGACAATATGTACGTGTCTTCTGGGTTCTCCCACCCACTGTTGACCTTGCCAACCTGGAGGGTACGTGACAGCGGGGAGTCAGGCAGAGGCACCCTGTGCCGTCCATCTCCATGTATTCCTGCTGGGAGCGGGGCGTGACAAGAGTAAATAAAGCCTCTCTCATGACTCTTTACAACCCTTCCAATCAAACACTCTTCAACTCCTGCCAGCACAGATGTCCATGGCCCACGTGCTCCCTGCCTTCCCCCTGTGGCCCTCGCAGTCTGTCAATGCGCCCAGGGAGCGTTCCAGTTAATGGGAAAGTTGCTGTCCATTAAGACTTGTGGGCAAGGAGACGCCATAGAGGAGTAATTAACTCCGGTCTGTCTCTGGGGAGGTGATGGTGCAGAGAACGTGTGCTGCCAGCCCATGTAGCCTGGCAGGGTGGCTGGCGCCGACGTCCCCCGTCGTGGGGTCTGGGCCGGTGGCTGCTGCGGCTTGGGGAAAAGTTTGCTCGGCTAGTTTTTGATCAGAGGCCGTGCTCCTGTGGCACCTGGTGCTGAGGAATCCAGCTCCTGGGGCCAATTCTGCGAGGTGCTGAGCTCCCCTGATTCCCCGAAAGCCTAGTAGGAGGCGCTCTGCTCCGTGCAGGATTGGCTCATTGAGGAGCAGAGTTAAAGCCTCTATGGAGAAGTGCCAGGCACCGCTGAAGGCAAGTGCAGAATGAGTCCAGGCCCAGGTTCTGGGGTGTTGGGACCCAGAGTTTTGGTGTGGCCCATTGCAGTGATAACGGCCTGCTGGGAGGTTAGGATCCAAATTTCCCTGGCACTGAGGGCACTGGGTTTTGGGCCCATCTCGGTGGGGAGTGGAAAGGGGCAAGTGTGATGGCTAGTGTCTTCCACTCCTCAGTGCTTGGGCCTGATTCTCATTAGCAGAGGAGTCGTGGTTGTGTGGGTGGGCCCACGCACCGGAGTTGTGCCAGCCCTCGTATGATCCTCTGGAAAAGGGTGCGCTCGCTCCACAAACTCATCAGAACTTCATCCGGGCCAAGCGCTTCATGCACAACTACTACTACTACTTCTTCTATTTATTTATTTTTTTGCAAAAAAGTGCAGATTTGGCAACATCAAAACATTTCACAAATTCACGGCTAGTTCACCAGATTGTTTTGGTTGGAAACAAACAATTCTGAAGAAATAGAAATATTTTGTTTCGACATTTTCAAAACAAAATGTCTTGGGGTGTTTTGGTTCGTAGTGACATCATTTCAAAACATCCTTTTAAAGTATATTTAACCCCCCCCCCCCCCCGGAAGCATTAAAAATGTACCACATTGGAATTAAATGTTCTGCACTGCACTGAAAAATCTGTTGTTTGCCCAGCTCTGATCCAAATCATGCCCACGTCCCTTGAGAACCCCATGGGAATTGTAAGGGGTGTGTGTGGCATGGGAAGTTACCTGGAAGAGGAGGCTAGCACCCCCTCCCCCCACGGTGATCTTTTTAGTGAGCACATTGTTGTTTGAGGAGAAGAACACAAGACTGTATGAAGTGCTCATTGATTTGTGAGCAAATCGCGCACAGAAACAATTGTGGCTTTGCTTCGTTGGCTAATGCTCTGGTGTGGTTTGTAGCTGGCTCTTGGACTGACGGCGCAGCGTTTGCAGTGAGGTGTTGGATGGCAGAGTTCACTGGGCGATGTGCAACGTGCTGCGCTGAGCTGAGTGTTCGCCACTGGGCGTGTTTCGAGCTGCCACCTACCCTGAGATTTATTGGTTGTTTAGTAGAACGTATCCCTGCTGCTCCCATAGGTTCCACCCCGCAGCGAATGGCGTGGTGCCACCCAGCACTAGTGGCAGGTATAGGCTGGCCTCTGGGGGGCTCCTAGTGTTGCAATGGTGTCCCTAGCCTCTGTTTGCCAGAACCTGGGAATGGGCGACAGGGGATGGATCACCTGATGATTCCCTGTTCTCTTCATTCCCTCTGGGCATCTGGCACTGGCCGCTGTCAGAAGACAGGATACTGGGCTGCATGGACCTTTGGTCTGGCCCAATACGGCTGTTCTTATGAGTGTCACATCTAACCCTGCTCGCAGAAGGTCTGAGACATGTTGGTTCAAAGGCCAGTAGTCACTGGCCCTCTAGCGCTCCTGCTGGTGCCTTCGCTGCGGAAGCATTAGAGGAAATTCTGAATGTCACCGGGGCCTGGGCATGGGTGTAACCTGGTTACTGTGATGTGGGTGACCTTGAATCTCAGAGCTAGGGCTGGTGATCTTGACGAGGGACCCAGAGCGGAACGGGCGGGTGGAGAGGTCAGTGTGGACGTTCCTCCGTACCGGGGTGACCTTCTGACTCTCTGCTTGGAGATGGTATTGATGGCAGTGCTGGCCCTCCCGCACAGCACGTGTAAGCTAGTAGTAAAGCCATCAATACTGCTTCCCCTGGGGGATCCGGAAAGAATTAAAGGATTTTGCCCACGGTGAGTGCACTGTATTTGATATTTGCTCACAGGTCAGTAAATACTAGCAGCCCTCGGGGGCTCGGTATTGCTCTAGTTGTGACGTCACGAAGGGGCCGAGCATTTTGCTGCTTGGCCGTCCGTCTCTGGGTATTAGTAAAGTGCTTCACGCCATGCACGCTAGTGACGTCACGAGTTCAGCCTCGTGTGCAAACCTGAAGTCGTCCCTTGTAAAAGCAAGTGCTGGCTACACCTGTGAGCTGATGGGCTTAACTGCCCTCAGAAGGAATGTTTCAGTTAAGCGCTCGCCTGGTGAGCAGCAGGTGGTTACTCTGAGGGCTAGATTCAGCCAAACTGGCCTTGGAGATGCATTTTAAACCTCTCTGCATCACCTTTCTCCCCCCCCCCCCCCCCGTCCCATCTCCCGGGAGGGCAGCTGGCTTCCCAGTTGGGACTCCATTGACTCCAACCAGCAGATCCAGCCCAAGGAGTGCCGTTCAATGTGGTGGCCCTGTATCTCTCCTGCTCCATTTATACCTTCGGAGCTGCACTACAGTGAAACTACAGTGAAGGAACGTCAAATTAACTAGTTTCAGTTAAACGTCCCCCTTTGGTTACTGGCGCAGATCCAGTGCAGTGAGTGATAGTTGTTGTCTGGTGGCTCGTCAGGGCCCTATTAGGAGATGAGAGGAAGAGGTCCTGCTAGGAGCTGGAATGACGCGAGTGTCTCTGTCACGCAGCTGGCCCTTCTTAACAAAGAGTCCAAAGCTAGAATGCATCCAGGAGAAGTGTTGTCCGTATAGCTCCAGGTCTGGGTGGGGGCCGGTGGAGGGAAAGTTTGTCCTGCAGCTCCCCTGGCGTTGTTTGCGCCGTTGGGTAGATGGAGCAGTTCAGTCTGGAGGCTTGAACTTGGCCATCCTTTACAGAGCACAGTTAGTTTCTTAGGCACTTCAGTTTGTTGACCTGACATCCTGCACTTGCATGTTTTTAACCCGGGCTGGTACTTAAGTTTTGCAGTTGTGCTTGATTTTTAAATATGGTGATGTAATTAGAGTGGAACGATTTTAACATTTTAAAGCAATAATTACCCTAAAGACAGAATATAGAGACAATTTATATGTAGAGTCAACAAAAGCAAACATATTTGCTGTTGGATTATAAATATTGCATCTGCCCAAAGCTAATTTTTTTAAATTTGCTCTTGTGTTAGAGCGAAGAGTGGATTCGCGTCTACAAAAACAGGGTCTTTGTTTTGACTTCTTGTGACCCTTTGATTCCATCCTAAGTGCGTGCGTGAAAGGGGGGGTCCTTAATGGTGTCAGGGGGAATGGACAGCTGAGGGTGGGTTCCTTTTGCATTCTGTGTGGTTAATTAAAACCAACCAACCAACCAACCAAAATTGTTTCTGAAACATCAAAGCCATTTTCTGCCTAAAAATCTGTGTTGTGAACTGCAGGTCAAACAAACCTACAAATACATCACTGCTTTGCTCTCCTAAAGTCGTCCTTTTAAGGAGAAAAGATCTATGTGGCTCCACTAATTAGGTGGGTGGCCCTTCATTCTCTCATGTGTGGCCGCCCAGGTGCGCACCTTAGAGGGAACTATCTGCGGATCACCTGAATGGAGCTCGCGGACCACTGGAGGAATGGGCTAGTGCTTATGCTTTCTTCTGTCCTCTGCTGGACAGAACCAGAGCTGCTGAACTGTCATAGACCCTGTATTTGCAGCAGCTAATGAAGATTTTCCTGTAGCTCAGGAGGTAGAGGCCTGTGCTGTTTGAGGACAGCAGACCCCACTTCTGTCTTGCCGCCACCACGGAGTGCTAGCTAGTGGCTGTGATGTGCCGTGTAACTCGACTATTGATATCGAAGGTCACCACTGATATAGAGGCGTGTAGGGAGTGCCTAGAAAAAGATATTTGCATGGTGTTTTGGGGGAGGGGGGAAGTGCCCCTTTTAATGCTGGGTAACGTGTCTTTTGGGTTTAACGTTTTGTCTTTATGGCTATTCCAAGTCGTTTTAATCAAATGCAATAGGCAGAACTCGAGGCTGGTAGCATGTTTCATAGCTAGCTGCTCTTGTTCTTAACTGTACAGAACTGTTTCATTTGCAATGGGTGCCTCTTCCTGACTTGTTCTGGTTAGTTCCCAACAAGCATCTCTCTTCAGGAGCACCTGCTGCGTGTATTTCAGAAGATATTTTAAAACAATTGCAGAAAAATGCTTGATATCTGTATCCTGCTGCTGCAATGGCTTTCTGGCTTCCTTTTTTTCTTTTC